AAAATATATTTAAATATATACACAAGTAAGGAAGCAATGACACAATAATAACAAACCTACTGTTGTTGGAATGAATCAGTCATTCAATTTCTGCTCTTTTGTTTCACTTTTTCTGTTTAAAATAAACTACCAGTTATGAAAATATGAATGAAAAGCCTGAAATGGATTTTGTCTTCGTTTATGCTGCTGAAGCCCACGGCTGCTCTTGGTCTGAACTTCAAACACCAAAAAAAAAAAAAAAACCCAGCTTGTGTTTCAAGCTCCTTCTCGTCAATATTTCCGTCCAGAAGAATCCTGCATGCGTGACAGTTCATATTTACAACCGTGATCTTGGAAGTCAGCAGCGCCGCGTTACACAACCTGACGAGAAGTTACAAATGAAAAACAACCAAAAAGTTCCAGTTTACTTTATAACCGACAGATGTTGGAGGAGAAATATTGCGACTGAACCGGTGAGGCCGGTGATCTCTGAGCTTTTTATTTGCAGCCTGAAGTTGGGACACAAAAAGTGAATTTTTGAGCCTTTTCGTTTGTGTAAATTTGGTTCCTGGCGTGCTGCAGCAAGTCGCTCACCAGGAACAAAAACACCAAGATCTATCACACTGAATACAATGACTCCTCTCATGACCCTGCACAACCCAGTTCACTTCACTCTGACAACGCGTAGGAGGACATGGTGACTGACTGCCAATGACCGAAGTGTTGGACAAACATGTCCGTGCACCTTGGCTGTGTCATAGAGTAATATACAAACCTTTTGCCAGCACAGAGTTAAACAACAGGGGAGAGAAAGTGAACCTTCACCTGTAGATAACCGCCCAGCTAGAGTGACAAATCTACAGTTTGTGCAGCCAAATGGTGTGTTTTCACAACGTCAACCAGAATGTGACTGATGTTAGACGTTGTTTTCAACAGATATGACAGTGCCGCACTGGGAAAGTCTCACAAATGTCAGCGCTTTTGTTTTGACCACCAGCTATTTCAAATCTGTATAAACAGACCTGAAGTCTGATAAAATGAGTCCCAACCCAGAGTGCCCCTGAAGGACCATGAGAGTCGTTTAGAGGAAATAAAGGCCTCGCTGAACCTGCATCTCTCTCTGAAATGAGCCAAAGTAATTCCATTAGAAAAAGGCACCACAAGTGTAATGCAAAGCTTTATTTCATAGATCGGTTGATCTGTGAGGACAGAGCTCTGTAAACAGCAGCCAGACGGATGTCCCTTTTACCCCATTTCCACCAGGGCCATCTGAGGGGCCTAATCTCAAACAGTTCTTCACCTTTGGACCGGCTCTCGGCCCTTTGCTGGTCTAGAACCAAGTGCTGATAGCGGTTAAAGAGCTACTTCAATATTGGACGTGGCTCTATGGTGGCTAAAGGGTATTTGAGAGGCAAAGACAGGCCCTTGACACCAGTGGCGGTGGTGGAGGGCTAAAACGCTCACTGGAGGATAGAAAGCCTGTTTATGAGTGGTTCAGGTTGTCCTTATCAGCTCATGATAACACACTGGGGCAAATATCTTACACACTGAGCTTTTCCTGTTGCATTGTGTAGATACACTGTTGCCCCTCAGTTTGCATTAGTGCAAACAGCAGATAAACGGCAGATTGATTAAAAGGACAATAGAGACTCTGAGTCAAAACACAGCAACATGTGAGCACAATTTAAACTGAAATAATAAAGCAGAGGGTAATAACACCGGATCCACCTCACATGACGGTCATATGATGATCAAACTTTACAAATTATTTGCAATTAATTTAAAGAACCCCAATGTCAGCTGGGATCGACACACAGTAACAGATAAATAAATACATCTGTAAATAACAACATGTTTTAGCTGTTAGAATAAAGAAACCTGACAACAGACACAACAGACACATGGGAACATTTGGCTTGTAAAGGATTGGTTGGATATATGTGCTGTAATATCTGTAAATGTAGATTGATTTGGTTTGTAAACATTGTAGAAAATGAAGTAATTCATTAATCTGAATTTATTGTTAATGTCAGTACATTATTGATTTATTTACTTGAAATTCTGAAATATTTCTAAATGTAAATAGATTCATCAATATTATAGTAAATTTATTTTTTATTTATTTGAATTTACTGTATGTGTTAATGGAAATATGTATCTCAGTAGTATAGCAAATATATTTATTGATTTATTTACTTTAATTTATTGAAATATTTGTAAATGTGAATAGATTAATCAATATTATAGTAAATGTATTTATGCAATTATTTATTTTAATTTATTTCAAATGTGTAAATGTAAATAAATTAATTAATATTATAGCAAATGTATTTATTGATTTATTTACTGGAATTTATTGTTATAGTTGTAAATAGATTTAGATAGACGCTATAGTAAAATATTTTATTATTATAAACATTATTATAATGTTATTATATAATTATTTTATTATTATAAACATTATTTAATATGATTGTAATTATTATTATTATAATTATTGTATTATTATTATTATTATAATTATTTGTATTATTATTAATAATAAATATTATTCTTGTTTTATAATTATAATTATTTTGTATTATTATTATAATTATTTTTAGTATAGAATTATAATCATTTTGTATTTTTATTATAATTATTTATAGTATATAATTATAATATGTTGTATTATTATTATAATTAGAATTATTTTGTATTATTATTATTATAACTATTATTATTATAATGTTATTATATAATTATTTTATTATTATAAACATTATTAAATATTGTTATAATTATTATGTTATTATTATTATATTATTATAATTGTTTTGTATTATAATAATTATTATTTTTATTTTATTATAACTATATTATTATTATTAGTAGTAGTAGTATATAATTATAATATTTTGTATTATTCTTCTTATTATTATAATAATTATTATTAATACAGTAATAAACGTTGAAACTCCTTCTTAAGGTCTGCCTGGTTGGAATGCAGTTTCCCACTCATTCTTTGTGTGGTCTCTCTCGGACGACCTTAAATATTTCCGCTCTCGCGTTACAGTGACACGCGCAAATAAACGGCCACGGGAGCGCGCGGCGGCAGCAGCAGCCCTGTCAAATCACAACGGCAGTGACGCAGAGGCGGAGGATTTACATAAAGTCCTCCGAGGACTCTTTTTAACGTCTAAAAGTGTCGGTATTCGCGGTAAACCGGCGGGGAGATACGTTAACGTCGCCATTATGAGACGTTGCGATAGTTTACTAACGTCTGCCGGATGTTTGGAGTAAACAAAAACAAACAAAAACAACAAAAAGTCGTTTTTTTCTTCAGCTCGGAGGCGCACGGGACCAGCCGAGGACTGCACGGGGATTTTAACGACTCATTCACAACTTTATCCGGTCGGTTCGGGAAACACGTTCGGACCGGTTAACGTGGGCCACATTTAACCCGGGATTAAAGCCACTTCACTGGACTCGGTTCGCTCGGTTGTTCAACATGCTGGCGACGAACACGGCGCTTTACGCGGCCAAGAAACGGAAGAAACCGGTCCAGAAAATGTAAGTTAAAGACCATAAACAGGCACTCAGATCCCGGTAATGTCCCGGTAAT